TGGCTGATATCAGTATTTTTGGGGTGAAGCTGTAAATCACTGAGCGACTGATGCTGTCATACAGGGAGACACATTTGGGTCTGACGCCGTCATTCACGTGGGCCCTTCTCTTTCAGAGTACGCAAAGAGGATTGTGTGATATGTGTGAAAATTTTCAGCTTGGGTGTGAAGATTCACAGTCAAAGTTAGATTTTCACAGCGAGGGAACTTCTCATTCCCTTTTATTGGTCGACATCCAGTCAGTAAAGACCAGATAGTCTAAGGACACATTTCTGCATTGATTTGAATCCACAGTGAAAAGTCTGATGTGACACGTGGTTGTTGCTGCTTGTGGGAGAAAAATGAGTCTTGTCTGCATCCAAGGCAAATAAACTACATGACCAAGGTGGAATGCTCCATTAAGTCCAGAGGATAAATTATGTGAAATTACATAAAATTAAGCTTTTATACTCATTTGAACTTCAGTGTGGTCTTATTTTATATTCCTGGATCATTTTCTCCCAACATCAGAGGTTGTTTTTCTTTGCTGTTCAAACAAAACAGCGTTGAATCATTTTAAGTGACAGACGAAGAGAGAAACAAACTTACCTTGTCCACATGGTTTGCTATTTCAAGCATCCTGGTCTGTACTGTCCTCTTAGTGTCAAACTTCTTATACTAAAAAAAAAAAAATTTTTTTTTTTTTTACTTATAAAGTCTCAGATATAAAACACAAACATTCCACATCTTGGGGGAAAAGTGAATTACAGATAATTATGATTAAATGTGCTGTGACAGACAGAAATCAAACCTCAGTGTGGTCGGCCACAAGAACCAGCTCCACTGTTCGGGGTTTTACTGCATGGTCTTTAGTCTGGGCTCCGACTTTCTGAATAACACAAGACATTAACAATATTAAACATTAGTGTGTGTGTGTGTGTTTAGTTAGACCCAGGTTATTGTTTCATGATGATTCATAAAGCCCACTAATCTAATGTAATGAGTTTGGTGTTACTGATAATGTATAGAAGCAACAAAAAATACAGTGAAAATCGTACAGAATAATTTTGATGCATACAAATATGGCATTAAGTAAATATGAACATGATATTTGCATTTTGAAACTAACTTTTCCAATAAAACTTTGCAAAATATTAAAATCAATGTATCATGTCTCTCTTCCTTGTTTCCCCGATGTCTGGTCTTTTTCAATCTTAGTTTGTTTGACTTAAATGAAAACTAATGTAAAGTGGATTTTTCAAATTACTTTCAATCATCTTTTAGTTCTCATGTAGTTAGAATTTTAAAATATCCCCAGGAAAGTTTGTTAAATTCAAAATCTGATGCAGATACAGAATTATCAGGAAGTCAAAATGCGCCTCGTGATAATGATGAGGAGCTACTCTGAACAGTAGTGTTTTATTGCATGAAAGTTTCCCTATATAATAGGAATCCATTTTTTAATTTAAAAGAATATTATGTCTTTTAGAGTTTTTTTAAATGAATATTGCCTTTTAATATTTGTGATTCCTTAAATTATGACCAGTCTTTTTTATTTTGCTGCCCTTGTAAAGCACCTGGTAACTTAGATTTTGAAAAGTGCTTGTAAATAAATAAATTATATAATCGAAGAACACAGAAAGTATTGGATATCAACAGTCGTATAATGTGTAGGTTTCCAACCCTGGTGTATCCATGTGTCTGTGTTGTGTGTCTGTGTCTTTACCAGACTGCTGAGCTGGAACAGTCCAGACGGACGAGCTCCGTGATCATAGTAAGTGGTTGTGTTTCCATGGGAACAGGAGCTCCTCTTCCTCCTCAGGTGTTTGTAGTTGTAAACAGCGTGAAGACCCTCGCTGCTGTAAGTTTCAGAGCTTTGTTTGTGCCACTGTCCCGCCTCAGGACCGGCCAGAGGCTCGATCAGGTACATCTGGTCCTGGAGAAGCACAAACCCCCTGCAGAGCCAAACAGGAGTTTCAGAGTGGACAAACACATGATCCTTTTCCTTTGCATATGTAATTCTCCACCAGTTAAACTAATCATGTGGCTGCCTTTGTTTTTACTTTCCACACCTTTTGACACTAGCATGTCTTTTATATTAGCAGCGGAAGGCGGCTTCAACTAAAGAAGTAGGATTGGGTTACATGTTTACATGGGGTCTTAATGGTCTGCATGAGGGAGCGAATGGATGCTGCGGGACTGATCGCCTCTTCCGATTGGACACGGCTGGTCATGAGTCACAGCAGGAGACTTACAATCCCCAATCATCATGGGTCTAATTCAATTTGGCGCTCAATTTAGAGAAACAATAACCTTTTGTAATTAGAGAAATAAATCTACATGCAGCATCACTCACTTCATTCCAGAGCACAGTCCCACGCTGGCAGACGAGTCCTCCACCCCCACAATGTGTCCGTGGTAGTAGCAGTGAACCTGGATAGACAGACGTCATTTCAGAACGAGCGATTTCTCTCACGCCTTTTTTTCTTTGTCTGACAAATATCGCAAGCACAGTGTGGAAATGTGGTCTGAAGATATAATCAACTGTGTGTTTGTGTAATGGTCAGAGGAAGTGACCTTATATGTCAATTCCTGTTCTGGGTAAAAATCAAGAATGACAGCATGTGATGTCATCTTTCATAATGAGGAACTTTGTTGTTGAGAAACTAACAAAAGCTTTAAAATGTCTCAAGACATCTGAGGAAAAGACTCTGTGTCTTACATATATAACATGATGACTAAAACCCCACTGGGCTTGGGTTTGCATGTGACAGAGGATATCCTGTACTTAATGCAATAAAGCCTGTATGCTCTGTGTAGTAGGATAATCATTTGATGCTGTATGAGTCTGAGTCACCCACATCACTGCATTTATTCTGCAATTTCAGCAAGGAAAGGGAAAATAAATGTCTAATTACCAGGTTTAGGTTTACTGTGTATGCATTAAAAAAACTCATAATTTAAAGTTTGGAATAAAACAGACATCTCCTTGTGATAAACTCAACTAATATAAGATATAGTTCATTATAAAGCAGGTTGATAGTGTGAATGTTTGTTATATTGTGATGAAAGTGTTCAAAGGTACATACCCCAAGATCTGGAATAGTTGTGACTTGTGCACCCTGATCAGAATAGTGTGTCACAGAAAAGTTTTTCCCGATTAGATCTCTGGAAAGAAAAGATTTGTCTCATTATATCATTGACAGATCGATCAAGTTAGAGCAGTATGTGTCGAGCAGCACAGTAAAGAAGATCTCACTTGTTCCTTTCCAGATGCAGAGTGTAGTTCTGCCCTGCGAGTGTCAATGAGTACCGGAGTTCATCAGGGTATGTCTACACTCACACACACAGCAAGAGAGAGAGTCTTCCGTGAGATTAAACACAATACAGTGTAGAGTAGAGAGAGAGAGAGAGTGTGTGTGTGTGTGTTACCTGATGTGTAGCAGCATCACTGGTGAGTGATGAATCCTTCAGCCTCTGAGGTGTCACAGTTTGGTACTTCATCACATGAGGTAGAGTTGTCCTTACACTGCCCGCTGTTACTCCTGGAAGTAAAGTGATATTTCAGTAAAGGAAGAAAGAAAGAGACAAGGAAAGAGAGAGAAGGAAAGAAAGAGAGAAGGGAAGAAAGAGAGAAGGAAAGAAAGAGAGAAAGAAAGATACGATGGAGGAGTCGTACCCCATGAGGAGAGGAGAATTCCTAACAGATATCCAATATGAAGCATGTTGCTTTGTCGAACGGACTGTGTCATTGTGTGCTTTGCAGTCTGAGGTTAAAACTGAGACTCCTCTGCTCTCCTCCTCTCCGCCCCTCTCTCTCTCTCTCTCTCTCTCTCCCTCCCTCCCTCTCTCTCTCTCTCTGTCTGTACAATGTCCTGTACAATCAGAGACTGGCAAACCATATGAGTCACTGTGAAAACTTCACCTCAGAGTAAAAACCAACAGAATAGTAAATGTTGCACTTTATTGAAAGTAAAAAGTAATAATTCCCACTGGTGGATATGAGGTTAATCCTTTTTTAAAAACACAACTGAGACCTGTTTTCTTTCCAAACATGACTTTCTGATCGGAGCTTTTCTCATTATCAGTTGTTTCTAATCTATATGACCCAATCACATGTTTTCCCATCTCAATTTCATCAGGAACATAAATGAAGGGGAACCCCCTCATTAACTAAATATCCAGAGCAAGGGATCACGTGGCTCTGAATTTACAGCTGAGCCTACGAGGACTCTTTGTGGACTCTGGTGCCCCCTGCTGTCTAAACGGTGGAGCAGTCAGACCATTTATGTTCACACATGTCCATTAGAAACCACACAACATTTAGATTGTGTTGTGAATGCAGCGCGTATTTGCTGCACGGTTAATATTATACAGCCTGTATCTTAATAAAAACAGATGCTTTTGTAAAATAGCTGCAAAATACACGAGACTGATTTAAAAAAAAAAAGGAAACATGGGTAATTAGATTCGTTAGAATAAAGCAAAACTTACCTTCTTGAAACCAGATTCTGACGTTTAAAGGTTGTTTGAGTCCTTCTGGGTGCAGCTGCTCCCATGTTGAGTCTGACCAGCTGGGGGCGACAACTCACCAGTTAAATGCATATGCGTTCATGTCTCATCTTGAGAATGGGAAGACCTGGACACCTCAGGCAGTGGGCGATTTGTATATTTATAGT